TTGCTACATGAAAAATTCTAAGACCAAAAAATGTTACTTATTATAGGCAGAAGAACTCCAAATGTATGTTTTTTTTTTTTTTTGTCGTTTAACTTAAGAATTTTATTTACTTTTTAGTAGACTTTAGTTTTTTGAACAGTTTTGGATTACAGAGTAATTGAGATGATAGTATAGAGGATTTTCACAAAAATATGGAACGCTTCACGAATTTGCGTGTCATCCTTGCGCAGGGGCCATGCTAATCTCTGTATCATTCCAGTTTTAGTATATGTGCTGCCAAAGCGAGCACCAAATGTATGTTTTTAAAAACCAAACTGACTGTATATATATGCATATATTTATTATTAAATACTTAGAAAAAGTCTGTGTGGATCCTTACCTAATAAACAAGGATACTTCTAAGATAGGGAAAAAGGGAAGATGTGGGAATGGAGGAAGGACTTGTTTTCTATTTCCATGTTTGTAAATTACTTGAGTTTTTATAGAGAATACAAGCATTCATTTTTAAAACTTTTTAAAACTAGTTGTACTGTGGAAGGTGAATAGCAGTTTTTAAGTAGAAGTGATCTAATTTAAAAAAAAAAAAAAGATGCTTTTGTACTTTGTGGATCTTGGCCAAAGCTTGTTCTTTTATCAGAGTTACTGCATTTGTCTTGGCAGTGGAGGCTGAGTTTCCAAACTGCTGGAATGATGATTAAAGAGAACATAAAGAGATTTTTAGGGTTTTTGGATTTAGTGAACTGTGTGGGTTGTGGGGGAAAGTAGAATGAAAGGTAAATTGAAATGGAGGATATAGTAAGAAGAACAGACTTAAGGATGAAGACAGTGAATTAAGTTGACTATTGAGGACCTATGGGAAATTCTCGTTGATGATTTTTAGCAGATGACTTGAAACAACAGTCTGATACCCTAGAAGTCTTTGGCATTGAGATGAGCAAAGGAACCCAGAGGGCCACTAACATGTTAGGAGCTAGCAAAGCAGCCCCTGTAGCCAGCGGAAAAGATGTGTTGTTGGAGGTGTAGCCGGCCTTCCAAGGATGAAGATCAGGTGAGCAGCATCAGGCTCCAGGAAGGGAAAGGAAAATGAAACATTTAAATTTGTGGTACCAGAGACTTTGACAAGAATATATTATGGCAGAGAGCCCTCTAGTGGACGGGAGCATGGTATTGGAGGAACTGGAAGGAGCCTGGTAAGCGCTGAAGCTCAGGAAATGTGAAGAAGGCTAAGAAAGGGTTTTTCTTCCTTTGAAGACAATGTGGATACTTCCTTATTGGGAAGAAATTAATCAGGGCATGAAAGCTCTCAGCTTATGAAGTTTATATGAATTTTATTTTCTTTTGCCCTGTTGAGAACTTAAGAGTTGTGAACAAGGATATTTTCTTCTGTAGTTGGGTAGGTGAGGGGAGTAGGGAAATTTTCTCCTGAGGCAAAGTAAGCTGACGGAGAAGAGAAGCTTCAGGTGCTTTTGATATAACCATGTTCAGCTGAGGTTCCAAACCAGCCCCAGAAGGAAGAGTTAAAGGAGCCTTAACCTATCACCAAGCTGCTAGGAAAACTCGTTGTAAAATGGGTTGTTTTATGTGTTTATGTTTTTTACAATGCCTGTTCTAGGAAAACTACTATTTTACTACTTTGTTTTCTGCATTTGTTATATGAAAAATGAGATTAAATTTATAAGGAAGAAGTTCTTTGTTTATTTCTTCACAGAACATACGAGTCAGGAGAATATTCTATATCGCCTTCCTCTTCCTTTGCATTATTAATTTAATAATTGCACAGAGAAAACTCAGATAGTAGAATTGATGAGCAAAGGGAGAAATTAACTTCTTTTTGTAACTCTTTAACGGAGTTACAATAGCTATAGAAACAACCAATAAAGTATGTATTTAGGGAGAAAAGCCAAAAATTAAATGAATGCATACTATAGAAATGTTAAGGAAATTATACAGAGGTAGGAATACTGGAAGAGTCTACCACTCTAAATTCATATTGTGTATCTTTGGTTATATGTAAACTTTTTACTATATAAAACAATGTAGATGAAATATGCAGTCATTAAAGTATATACTTTTTCATTTATATCACGAGCATCTTTCCATGTCAGCACGTATATCCATTATTTTTTTTTCATTACTTTATATTTTTTAAACTACATAGAATTTAAAAAACTTTTGAGGGAAAACTTTAAAATTTAAATGTATACACAGAAACGTGTTCTGCTCAATGACTTTTAAAGAGTAAAACATCCATATAACCACCGTCCAGATTAAGGTAAGAGCAGTGCTGGTCACCCCAGAAACCTTCTTAGTTTCCTCCCAGTCACTAACTTTTTCCCTCATACATGGGTAATCACTATTCTTATTTCCATTGTATAGAGTAGTTGTATCTGATTTTCTTAACTTTGTACCAATTGAATCAGACAGTTGTGTACAGCTTTTTTTAGCCAACATTATTCTGTGAGATTTATCCTTGTGACTGCAGATAGCAGTAGTTATCCTTTTTCTAGTTGGCATAATCGTCTGTAGTAGAATGTGTAGATACCATAATTTATGTATTAGGTTGATGGGCATTTAGTTTTAAGTTGGGAGTTGTGTATAATGCTCATGTGAGCCTTTTTTTACGTGTCTTTTGAACATATTTCTATTGCGTACACATTTCTATGGGTTATATAAAGAGGTCACTATGTTGTAGGGTGTACTTGTGTTCAGCTCCAGTAGACGCTTCCCATCTGTTTCCCAGAATGGCCCTGCCATTTCACCCCCCCGTCAGCCGTAGGGGACAGAGTTCTGTACACTCCAAGTCCTTGGCCTACACTTGGTATTGCAAGCACTTTTTGTGTGTTTGCTTGGTTTTAGTTTTTTTGTTGTTGTTGTAGTTTGTTTTTTGGATGGCTATATGAAAGTATTATTTTAAAAGTCTGCCAGTATTTTGTATGGAAATGTATAATTTAGCTTGTGCCCGTCAGATGGCTTTGCCTTCCTCTCCTGTTGTTGCTGAGCTAGAGTCTAAACAGATCTAATGTCTAGTGGGCTCAGGCTTCTTTCTGTGTATAATCCGACTGTAGCGTAAGGAAATTTAATATTGGAGCAAACTAAGAGAACTAATATCTCTTTTTTTCTTGACAGATTTTCCTCAAGTTTCCTGTTTTTTGAGTAGCATGGTGCCAGTATAAACAATTCGTGTAAAATAGTTTTTATTTTGTTGACATGCGATTTCATAGTGGTAAATGCTTGTTTTCTTCACTTCAAAAAGAGGTATAAAAACTACTAAAAATGTCTGAAACTAGACTTTTGGTGAAAGTCATGCTAAACACAGCTGATTTAATTATCCACAATGCCAATTTGCATTCTCTTAGAACAAGCACACAGTGGTAGCTGCCAGCACCTGCATCACATAGATCTTCAGTCTATTGGAAAACGGCTGTGCAGATTACCTGGGAAGGTCATCACTTAGGTTTTAGAAAACTGTTTGAATTTCACCTTTTGAAATTGAAAGCTGTTTCCAGTTTGAGGACCTTGCTTCACAGTCTTCCTTTTAACACTCTCCTTCCTCATTTTCTCAGATTTTCTTTTAACATAGATTTTTAATTGAGTTAAATGTGATTGCAGGACCTCCTGCTTTTTCGTGTTAAGGGATGTGATTACTTCATGATAGCCATTCTTCCTTGTCCAGCATTACAGCTTCAGACAGGTCTTGGCACAGGTGTCACTCAGTAATACCCAGGCCCTATAAGTAAATCCTTGCGAGGTTTCAGACAATTGCTAATCCTCTATAATGGCTGACTGGTCTTTTGGAAAGTGCCTTGTGGACTTACAAGACAGTTTGTCTTTCCTTTTATTCTTTGCTTTTGCCAGTTGTATAATGAATTCTTCATTTTTTGGACTAGGTATAATGACCCGAGTGAGCATGTGACTCTCGTACTAGTAAGTTTTAGACATATTCCTTTACCTTCAGATGTGGAGATTCTTCACATTTCTAAGTAAGTGCTGTCAAGAACTTCTCAGTGATAGCAGAAAGCTGCTTTATATTCTATTCAATTTTTTCAAAAGTATATGTGTTGAAGAAATGTCTTTAGCTGTTGAGAAGAAATGTCTTTAGCTGTTGAGATTTTTTAAGAGGTCATATTGCAGCATAACTCTAAAAGTCTGATAATTCTTAGTTTGTAGTAATGGTATATAACGAGTCTAAAAATGCCTGAAGAATTAACAAATAAATCAAAACGATATTGAAGACCGTATTTTCAGTGTCCTTTCCATTTCTAGCACCTTACTGTAAAAAAATTTGCTGACTTGATTTTTCCCCCCCAGTTTCTGTTAAGTATTCTGATATTCTAAACCAGGAGTGGTGTGGAAGGCAGTGGTAGTTGAAGGAGCATGAATATAATCAGTTCTGGCAAATAATCATAACTTAACTATCTTCATTTATTTCATATTCATGGACCTGGTTTGGAGATTAATTTTGGAGGCCTCTGTCAAATCTTGATTCATAAAATTCTTTGACCTCTCATGAATTCTGAGTGTATCCGAGTCAGTGTAGTCAGCCTTTACCAGAAAGCTCAACATTAGGAGTTTGTTCAGGTTGCAGCTTCTTTTTTTTTTTTTTTTTTTTTTGAGACAGAGCCTCCCGCTGTCCCCCTGGGCAGAGTG